GCGCTGAAACCGCCTTTAGTCAAAAGGACCACAGGGTTTTCTTTCACTTTTCCAAGAGGGGGCTCAGACGCCAAGGGGGCTACCGGTTGACCTTGTGGGGGTGGCCTGTGCCCCCCTCGTTCAGCAAGTCTGATTATTCTTTTAATTTTTTAATGTGTATTTATTAGCGTCAGCAGGGGAGGGGCAGAGAGAGAGGGAGACACAGAATCCAGGCCCGAAGGCTCCGCATGAGCCTCAGCCCGACTCCGCCGGGACTCAACTCACAAACTGCACTGTGACATCATGAGCTAAAGTCGGCAGGCCAACCAACTCATCGAGCCAGCCACTGGCCGGGCGCCCCTGAGCATCGCCTCCTCTGAGAGGCCCCAGGGCCTGTGTTGTGTGACGCCCATTCGATCCCTTCTTTGGAAGGCCAGATGCCCCCTCCACCATTCCTCCCCCCACCCCCCGGAGGGCTGGGCCTACACCGGGAGGGGGAGGGGGCTGGGGCCCGGCTGTCCTTGCTTTCACTGCTCTCCACCTCCTGGGGCCCCTTCCCAGTGGGTCCCCGCGTGCTCCACCGGACATGGGACGACAACAGGCGACTTCTTCTGCCAGAACTAAATAATAGAGTGGCACCCTCAGGGCGGCCTCCCCAGCTAGGGGCTGCTCGGGAGGTTTCTTGCCCCGACGGGCTCTAGGGAGTCCGGAGGAGACGGGCATAGGGGGCCGGGGTGGAAGCCAGAGAGAGGCAGGCAAACACGGCTCCTCAGAAAAAGCGGTTTATTCCAGTGTCTGGGAGGAAAGGAGAGAGCTTTGCCCGGCAGTTCTCAAACCTAGTCGGTCTCCTTTGCCGACGAGGTACGCGCTGTGTGTCAGACTGCGGTCACTGAACAGACGGGAGCTTCTGGCCACTGAGGAGGCCCACCGCTCAGGCCTTCCCGCGCTGCCACTGGGACACGCGGGTCTCCGGGGGGGCCCGGTGGAACCACTCGAACCAGGAGCCGTCGTAGACGGCCACGTCGGGCTTGCCGCAGAGGTAGGCGGCCAGGGCAATGTGGCAGGCGGTGACTCCCTTCCGGCAGGTGGCAATGAGGGGCTGGGCCAGATTCACCTTCTTGGCCTCGAACAGAGCACGCAGCTCCTCTGGGCTCTTCTCGAAGCCGTCCTCGGTCAAGAAGTCCACGAACGGCATGTTGACTGAGCCTCGGATGTGGCCCGGATCCAGTCCTGGGCGCAGCAGAAGGCAAAGGGGGGGAAGGACAGGGTTAAGGGCGGCCTGGGGGCCCAAACCCGCTGAGGCTATAAGGATAGGAGCTACACGAAGGAACGTAAGGCCTTTGCCCTTCTTGGAGCTCAATTTCCTCCTGGCCCAACCTACAGTCAATGCTTGAGACAGAAGCCAAAGGGCGCTCTCCCCCCAAACCCTGCCTTGAAGCAGGGATGTCCGAAGTCATACCTGCTTGAGGGGACAGGGGTGAGTCTCACCTCTGCCGCTCACCAACCTTTACGCTACCGTTTTACCTGGGACAACGCTTCACTTCTCTGAATCGGTTTGCTCGTCTGTAAAATGGGCCCAATGGCACACAGCTGTCTCGTAGGGTTGCTGAGAAGCGAACGCTACGATCTGTGCTGATGGCGAAGAACACAGCGGTGGGAGAGATGGGCCGGCTCTCGGGGAGATCACAGCCAGGCGGGGAAGACAGACGCTAAACGGATAACCCTGTGATTCGTTACACGTAATGTCGCTCCATTTTACAGATGAATATGCTGAGGCTTGGCCACGCGGAATGGCTCAGCTGAGGCCACACAGAGAGGCAAAGGCAGACCCGGGATTCCACCGGGTCCCCTGAGGTTCCCGTTAAGCACCAGTATGGGAAGCACATGTGACCTGGTGCTAGACATACACTTGAATCCCAGCTCTGCCACTTACCAGCAGGGTGACCCCTTAAGTGTCACTTCTCTGGGCCCCAGTTTCCCCCAGGGCTTGAACGGGAATGAGAGTACTCACGGGCAGGGGCTGTTGTCAGGGGTAAGGCGCTGACTACTGAGGCCGGCCCACCCACCCTCAGAGGCTCTCGCCACCTCACCGCCTCCCTTGGGGGCAGGTGAGGACAGCGAGGGGTGGTCCCTGCAGGGCTGTCCTAGCAACCCTGAGAGGCTTGGCTAGGAGCAGAGTGGGAGGTTTGAGCTGGTCCAGGTCCCTTCCGGAACAGTCTCCCCTCCCAGTGAGTCTGAGACCAAATGTGGTTTCAGAATAGCCAGCAAGTGGGACAAAGGGATCAGGGCGGAGGCCTTGGTCCCACCCTTAGCGTGCCAAAGGTCACTCCTCTCTTCCTCAAGCACCCCACACCCTGGCAGTCTTTGGATGCTGGGAGCGGGGCCCAAGGCAGGTCTGGGCGCCTCTTGGAGCTCCCTTTCCTCCAAAATCCCCCACCCCACCCCCTTAACCTGGACCGTGGGACAGAGCAGGACCAAGGTGGGCAGCAGGGGGAGGGAGGGGACTGGACGAAGACACACACTGGGGCAGGGTGCAGCCAGGAGGCCCTGCATCCCTAAGCCTCAGCCTCCCCACCCGTGAAATGGACAGATAACCCCGCCTACGTCACAGGCCTATGGGGAAGATTAGCCACTGTAGGCAGAAGCCCCTAGTGACCCTGGGCACACAGTAGGTGCACAGTCATGCCAGCAATGCCCCAACCCCCATCCCCTGAAGCCAGAGAAGATTCCAAAAATTCACCGGCATGAGTCAGGGGTTCCTTTGACTGAATAGAGGTCTCCACTTATACATTCCGGGGAGTCTTTCCTGTGGGAATTTTATCTTTTCGTCTGGAAATTTTCATCGGAGGCTGGACGCCTGCCGCCCCTACCAGGGAGAAGCCATTGGATCTGTTGGCTTCAAGGGCCTCCCGTGCCAAGAAATCCAACTTAGAAATCTTTGGGCATCCAGGCAGTGGGCTGAACGAAGTGCATTTCAAAGCGCGAGTGTCTGTGGAGTTCTGAATGCCGTCTTGTTTCTTTCCTCTGGTCCCCGATGCCAACAGCGCCCCTGCTTTCTTGGTTGCATAAAAGGCACCTCTTGGGAGTAGAGAAGTCTGGGGGTTTCCGTGACTCTGGCTTCCCAAACTGGGCCAGCCCCAGGAGGCGGGGGTCCCCCTCGTCTCTGCCAGCGACGGCTCAGGGCCTGTCCGAGGAATTTAAATGAGCAGGTGCTGACCGCCTGTGCATGGCAAGGGCCGGGACGAACCCAGCCCAGAGAGCCTTGGAGAACAGCCGGCAGAAGGACCCAGAGGCAGGGGCCTTTTCTCCTAAGCCTAGCTTCCACTGCAGGCCCGTGGCTTTCCTCCCCCCAGCGGGCCTGCCGCCAGGCCGACACCTCTGGCCCCAGGCGTCAGGCAGTGGGTTCGCTCCAGAACTTCCCGAATCCTCACAAAGCCAGGAGATGATGGGGAGCCCAGGCTCAGAGAGGTGAGGTGGCTTGCCTCAGGACACACAGGCCTATGGAGTCAGGCGGGTCCGACCCTAAAAACCTGTGTTCTGGGACCACCCTGAACCTTTCTTGGAAAGGGAGAGGAGGCAGGGGGAAAGGTGAGATGACCCCTCATATTCCTCAGCTGCTCAGAGGCCTGGGACTTTGGGTTCCACCTTTGGCCAGGAGGAGGCCAGTCACTGGGGGAGGCCATCGAGAGGGTGTGACCGCTGGTTGCCCCACGAGCTGGACCCTGGCCCTCGGACGCCCCTCGTCCCCACCCCTGCGCTGGGAATGTGCATTCTGCTTGCCTTCCCTGCTCCCAGAAGCTGCCCCAAGGACATGGCCTGGAGATAGTCATGTGGCGTTGAGACCAGCTGCATGACGTGTATGGGACTCAACCCAGTCAAGGGACTCAACCCAGTCAAGGCCTCCGTATAAACTTTTAAGGCTTGGCAGGTGCATGCAGAAATCTACTCATCTTGCGGCCGGTCAAGACAAGCCTTGTAAGTAAGTTCCCTTGCTTCTTAAACCTGCCACCCACATATCTGGAGCCGTCTGCCCCTTTCTTCAGTCTC